GGCAATTCAGATGTGACAAAGAGAAGCTGTAAAGTGCTTCTTTTAAGTGTAAAGGTGAGTAAAGTACAAGATATTTTGTTCACATAACCTTTATTATAGTTTATTTTTATGATTGTTCTATTTTAATATTATTGCCTTACTCTGCTTAATTTCTATGTTAAGCTTTACCATAGGTATGCATAGGAAAATACAGTATATATAGGGTTCAGTACTATCTGTGGTTTCAGGCATGCACTGGGAGTCTTGAAACACAGTCCCACAGAGAAGGGGGTGCTACTGCACACCTGCTTGAGCCTTAGCAGGTGTGGTGTTAATTGCTAATGTTTATTAAGCAAAGAGTGGTCACTTTCAGGGCTTCTTGCATTGTAATATGGGCCATAAAACAACATCATGCCTGGCTGGTGTGGTCCAGTGGATTGAGCATGGTCCTATGCACCAAGAGGTGATTGGTTCAATTCCCTTCCTGGTCAGGGCACATGTCTAGGTTGTGGACTTGATCCCCAGTAGGCAGTATGCCAGATTGATATTTCTATCTCTCTCTCCCCGTCTCCTTTCCTCTCTACCTAAAAATCAATAAAAACATATTTTAAAACAACAACAACCAACAAAAACAACAACAACATAAAACAAAACATGTACGTCATTGCAACTCAAAGAAATGAGGTATTAATTAACAGAAACAGAAGTTGCTCTTTTGGGCTACTTTAATTCATAGGCAATCACCTAATCAGCTCTCTCTATAATGAAAGACCAAGGTATTTTGCAAGTGCTAATATGATTCATTACATGATGCTTTCCTTGTAGGTAATTATAATTATCAAGTATTGAACAAAATTAGCACTTGGATTCATAACTGTGGGATTAGGTATTCAATAGGCAAGTTTCCTTATAAAGTGTAGGTAGGGTGAGTCAACCTAATAAGAGATACAGCTATTAGTCAACTAGTTTGCCTGATGAATCTTTACAGCTATACTTTCAGAGAGTACTGACCTTAAAAAAAATTTCTGGAATATTGTTCATCTTTGTTAAGAAAATCAGTTGTTAATTATTATTAACAATTATTAATTGAGCAGCTAATATGTACTGTTTGACACTGGTGAACAAAATATACTCACCCCTACTTTTACTCAGTTCGCATTCTAGCTAATCTCACAAGAAAAAAGTGGAACTATCTCCATTATAGCCACATTTAAAAATTTTATGCTCACAAATCAAGTGAAATCATAATATGATAAGATTATAAACTCTGAAAGGACAAGAACCTCATTTGAATTTTTTGTTGTTGTCTCTAAAACATATCACATAGTAGTTACATAGAAAGCATGCAGTAAATATTTGTTTAATGAATTCATATTTCCAAGTGCTGAATTGTTGTGAATGAATTTTTTAAAATTATAAACTGCTCTACAGATGAAGATTTTTTTTTCATGGTTAACTACACAGTGGCTTGATGGTCAACCTACCTATTTAAAATACTCTGTCAGTTTGAATGATGGATAAAACATCTGTTCTAATAATTTCACTGACCAAATGTTCGGAGGTCAGATCATTGAAGTATATTTTTCAAATACAATCCTTAGAGTGGTATTTTATTAACAGTGTTTGAGTTTTCATAATCAAATGTGGTTTATTCTCCCTTAAGTAACCATTAGGATACCTGCTTTCTTGAAATAATATAAAACAATGTTAGGGATATGTAATAATGCAAAACATATTGAAAAATCCTCTGTTCCCTTAAAAATATTCAATAATGTCATCATCCATTAAAAATAATACCAAACATTTCAAAAACAGTTTTGGTGACTGTATTTTGTTAGTCATTTCTGAGTTTTCCTTAACAAGTATTAATTAAATAGAGAAAAAGTGTGGACTGCCCATGATTGCCATTCCCTTCAGGTGACGGCAGGCAGATTTAAGTCAGATGGTGGTGTTATAGCACCACTCTGCCTTCCTTGGGACCACTATGCACACCACATTCTCTATGCTATGTTTTTGGCTCAAAAAAAGAAAGAATGAACTGAAGGCAATTTAATATCACAGATGCTGCTCTGTTGTGCACTTGTGCATCTAGCTGGGGATATCTTCCCGCCTTTCCCTCTACTGCCAGCCTCTCCAATCTCCTAACTGGTCTCCCCACACCCCCCTTTTCCCTTCCTCCTTCTCACACAATCTCAGATAGCTTTTGCCTAAGAATTTTATGATCTTATTCAAATGATTCTGGATGGTGTTCCAAGCTTGAGAGATGATTAAGGAATGCAGATACCATTTATATTGGACATCTGTCTTTCACCGCAGTCATATCCTTCCATGAGAAATTTTGTTTCATGGACAAACAATGGGAAGAAAAAACAAACCTTAGAAATCAAATAGGATGAAACTACCAGAACAAAACAGATTTGCAAATGCTACAACTTTTTGGTTGAGCAAGTTTTAAAGGAAACTTCTGCAGCTTTGAAAGTCTGGGGAAAAATGAAGTCAGTCTATTGGACAGAGTTGGTTTACATACTCAGAGGCTAAGTGTGTCACATTTTAGGGAGGAAAAGACAAAAATGAACAGGAAAAATGACAGTGGAGGAATATTTCTACAAGAATTCAATTGTCTCTTTTCCCCTCCAAAAGGTCACTTATATTCGTACAGACCCCAGTCAAACAGTATGTTCTGCGAGTTGAGTTTTTACTGAAATATACGTCTAGTTAGAAACAATTCTTGTGATGCCCCGGGTGTTTCTCCTGTCTCAACTTCTTTCTCAGCACATATTTATTCAGCATGTGCGATGACTTCTACACCTTTTACATACATGCTCTGAAACTTAAAACGTTTATACCACACAGTTGCAAAAGACTTGATCTTTTAAATTGCTCTCGAACACTTAGATACAAATCTATCTGGGAATCCAAATGATGTAGTAAAATACATTTACTTTCCATTGAAAATGAATCTGACTTTTCATTTGGTGGTTAGCATTTCCTCTTTATTCCTGGCAGGTTTTTGTCTTTTTATTTTCTCTCTCTCATTGCACATGTTGATCCTTTTGAAAAATGAATGTTTGCCAAATCTAGTCTGAGTTGGAAAGGAAGGTAGGGGCGGGTGGATACTAAAAAATCTGACCAAGATTGTTAACAACTGATTTCCAATATAGAGGTAGGCTCTGTGCCTGGTTAAGTAATTAAATTCCCATCACACTGGTTGATATTATAAATCATGCTGTGGGAAAACGAGTTTTTGAGACTCGTGACACCTAGACTCATTGTATCTTCCACTTGTACCTTAAGGAAAAAAGAAACACATGGGAGATAAGAGTTGAGTCCTGATCTAGTGTGGCTAGTTTCTACTTGTAGCTCAATGCTGTGTTCTAGAGACATGAAGCAAATTCATCACCTTGAGAATTTCTGTTAAAATGTGGAGGAGCACTGTTGTATACTTGATCTGGGGTGTGTTTTATAAATGCCAAGGAGAAGCATTTGTCTTTAAGTGCTTGATTCGAATTTGCACCAATGGCCAAAAAACTGCTTGTTTGGTTTGGATAAAGGATAAACAGTTTGCAGAATTTTAGTGGTTTAAACTATTTCTTATTGAAATGGTGTTTCTTCCCTTACATCCAAAATGTCTTGCTCTTCACGCGATACCAATTTTGTAGAGGTGTTCCATGTATGTCAGTCTTTGGCTCTATTACTGTGGCATCCTACATGGCTCTTAATAAAGAATTTTTAGTAAGGCATATATTAAATAGCATCATCAAACTTTAGTGCAGTGAGTTAGTGTAAGAAAAAAATGACGCGTACAATAAGATTCTGCAAGCCTTTTTAGTATCTTGCCTTTACCAATAAACTGAAGACTTGTGAGAAATATGGCTTAGATTTAGATATTCACAGGAAATATTTTAAAAGATATTAAACAAGAGACCGGGTGCTTCTAGGCAGAGTCAAGGAAAAGCATTAAAATTTCATAATCATTCTAGAATTTGCTTGATAAATCGACACTGGTATCAGAATACTATTCCAGACAATGAAAGTATTGTAAGCCCTAACTTTAAGTGCGAGCTTGTAAGGAAAATTATAGCTGCACAAAAACACCGTAGACTTCCAAATTTTAAAGGCATTAAACATGAAGGATAAACACGTACTTTGCTCATTTCCTCAGATTAAGCGTGGTATGTTAGAAAGGTGTGCACTTTCCCCATTATACCCATCAAATTTTAAAAAGGCAAATTTCAATCTGCATGTAATTGTGAAGGATATTTGACTTGTGTCTATTTGCATGGGCTAAAACAAATCAAAGTACTGAGCACAATTAATGGGAAGTACCTAATTTGTAAGTCTGTTTGCATTTCAACTAAAAGGACTTAAAATTTAAGAATTATGACGCTACATCTTTAGGGTGTTTGTATTTCAACAGCACTGACTTGATGAGTGAAATATGAATATACTTTTCTGCTTAAATTTTTGATATTTAAAGACCATTAATGCTGGACTATCTAATTACCATTATTGAATTATTATAACCACTGCTTTGATACCTAAAATATAATTACCAGTAATTAACTCTCTACTGTATTTTATTCTAAAAAGCTCTGGTTGTAATTAAGAAACAACAAATTAACCTCAATTTGCAACTCCTCCTCTTATTTTTTAAGAAGTAAACTTTAGTAACTTATAAAAACCAGAAATAAACTCAAATATAGAACTGAAACATATCATGTGAATCTAGCCACAACCTGAGACTTAACATAGAAGTACATTAAATGTGTACTATTAAAAGAAAGATCTAAAGTACTATATAAAATTGGTGGCAAAATTTTCATTCTGCTGCTTGAAAATTGGCTGTTTTCCCCCCTAGAATTTATATGCCCTATTCATCACTGTTCTGTGTTAGATGCATGGCTCTGAAATTGCGAAAATGGAGGCTTTTCTGGTAGCAAAAGGGTTAAGTTCTTTTTGCTTTACCAGTTTCAAATTACAATGAGAAGCCTCTTCTTTCCCAGCAGGGTTGTGCTTACATTACTCTTTAGATCTCCCTTGAAGAGGGCTGGTATATTTGTGCCTGCTGGAGGTGGAATTAACAGTAAGAAGGAGAAAGGGATTGAATGGACTTATAGGAAGGTTTTCAAGTAAATACAGGAAAACACATTTACTTGACTAGTACAACCTTGAGTCGCATTTTACACTAAGACGACACAAAAGATGTTAAAGTTATCACCAAGCTGCCGGACAAATATATATTCCAACACCAAGGTGCAGATCAGCATAGATCTGTGATTCAGAAATCAGCATTGTCTTGGAAAGAGCTTCAGGGTTGAGAAGAACTCAAGAGCAAGTGAAGATAACTTTGGGAACTACAGTTTATCAGAAGATCAACTTTCGTTCATTCAAATACCAAAGGCCTGATTATCATAAATTCACATAGGAATGCCTAGGTCATCTGATCAAATAATATTAGCCGTCTTCTGCTACATCAATGCAGCAAAAACTCTTAACAACTGTGGATAATTGGAAATTTGATTTTCAGCTTTCTTAGAAATAACTCCTCTTGACATATTCCAAAATATTTAAAATAGGGCAGGAAAATCAGTGAGGATGTTGTGTTCAGAAATGTCACTGTCATGAAGAATAGGTAAATTTATTTTTTTCTGCTACTGGGAAGTTGTACCTCCTAGAAACTTAGATTTTTTTTTTTTTTAAAGAGGACAAGAAGAACTAAAAACATCAACTTTGCTTTTGGACAAAAATGCATCTGAGTGTGTTTTTATTTAGGGGTATTGTGGGTTTCCTCTGGAGCTGCTGGGTTCTACTGGGTTATGCAAAAGGAGGTTTGGGAGACAATCATGTTCACTCCAGTTTTATTTATAGAAGACTACGAAACCATGAAAGACGGGAAATACAGAGGGAAATTCTCTCTATCTTGGGTTTGCCTCACAGACCCAGACCATTTTCACCTGGAAAACAAGCTTCCTCTGCACCTCTCTTTATGCTGGACCTATACAATGCTATGGCCAATGAAGAAAATCCTGAGGAGTCGGAATACTCAGTGAGGGCATCCCTGGCAGGAGAGACCAGAGGAGCCAGAAAGGGATACCCAGCCTCTCCCAATGGGTATCCTCGCCGCATACAGTTATCTCGAACGACTCCCCTGACTACCCAGAGTCCTCCTCTAGCCAGCCTACATGATACCAACTTTCTGAACGATGCTGACATGGTCATGAGCTTTGTCAACTTAGGTATGTTGTTCGTTTATTTGTTAATCTGTGTTATTACAAAGTGGAAGTTTTTCTAATGGTAAAGTAGCTGCCTGGTAGGTGGTCATGTTTATATAAAGTCATTTTCTATAACTCTCCTCTCCAACTTCTGTTTCCTTTCTTTCATTGATGCAATATGAGATTTTGCCTTAGGCAACAAAGTCATATATATATATACACATATTATTTTTAATATAAAAAGCTAAAATTAAACAATTATAGTTGGGGAAGATTTGGGTCTTTTCAGATCTTGTTAAAATATCAACCTTGCTTAATGTATAAATATATGAATAAACAGGCAATAGTCAAAAAAAGAAAAGGAGAATTTACAAGGAGAGCTATGCTATGAGCAAAAAATAATAATAAAAATATTTTAAAAAGCATTTATAGACAGAAAAGTAAAACTGACATTCTGAATTATATTTTGGTTAGTAATTTAGAAAACATACATGTACGTATTTATATGCAAGTTAAAAGCACTCATTGAGGGGAGGCAACTACCGCAAAGCTATTGGTATCAAATTAACTAAGATCAAATAATATTGTAAAAAATGACTATCAAATAGCTTCAGGGAAAGATTCCGATATTCTCTGAAAAATATTTTAGAAACAAATTTTCAATCTAACATTTTTAACTGCAATGATTGAAATATATCATACCTATTTGATTATTTCCAGAAGCAAGGGAAGTGGAAATCATGCCATGATGGTCCTTACCTATACAAAATTTCTTTTTATTGGAGATAAAAATAACTGAAATTCTTTAATTAGTAACTTTATTATAGAATAATTTTTTAAAATTATGTTTTACTCAATACTAATACTTTCATGGCAATGTTTAAAGAGTGGAATTATCAAATAGTAAATTAATGCTTGGTATTTCATTGTGCAATATTATTAAAGAGTTTCCCAATTTAAAATGATTTTTACCAGGGCTGTAATTTTATTTAAATGTTATAATAGATACTGAAGGTGAAAATTTACTATCTTCAGACATTGAAAATAATAAAAACATAGAATATGCTTATTTTTGAAGAATAAAAATTGTATCAAATTTCATCAACTTGAAAGGATTGAGAATATTTTAATGTAAGAACTCTTAACATTTTGTTTTAAAAATGCAATCTGCTTTGACTTAAATTTGACATATTTGATTATACACTTAATTAAAAACTTCCTCATATATCTCAAAAATATTCTTTGAAAAGTCAGATAGCAACTCCTAATAACACATGATGCTTTTATAATATATGTTACTTAATGTGTTCTGCTCATTTGCTCTCAGCAGTCCTAGCATGAAGGATAAGGTGCATAATAAATCATATGCTTCATGTTACTAGAGACAAAGCTCTCATTATTAAGTTTTAGTAAGTCATCATTGGTTGCCCTAATCAGGTGTCCTGGACACCTTTTCTTTGACATGTAATTAACAGGTTTCATTTGGAACTTTCAAGCCATTAAAATATACTTTAATTCTAACGTAGGTTGATTGCTCTTTCTTCTGTAAATGGCATGTAAATGTGGCTCAGGATATATTTTTACTTTGTAGCCATTTCAAAAACACTATTCAATAATTTAAATCTATGTTAATATTTTAATAGAAAATGTCAATCTAGCATGATTTACATAGTCACAAAATAAATGTCTGAAAAATCAGTTCAGGTCATCTAAAATCTGTCACGGGAGAATGTGCTATATAATGTATTTTATAAAACCATAGCTCTGTCATAAATCTCTTCTAATAATACATTTTATTAAATTTGAATATTTTGATCATTTACAAAAGAAGTGTATTTGTGTTTTAGAAAGAAATTAAGTATGATTTTGAACCTGTATGCCATTTCTTTTTATAAATCTACATAAAATAAGAAGACCAAAAACTATAATTAACAGTTTTATTCAGTGACTTCTAGAACAATTTTTATCTTTATCATTTAAGAAAGATTATATTTTTAAATCAATAAAATTTTGGTTATATTGTTTGGATTATAATAATAAACTAATTCATTAATATACCATGAAATACAATTATTCATTTTACCCTAGACAAACAATTGGATATAAACTTCAGAAAATGTTTATTTATTTTTATCATGCTTGAACTTCTGAGTAATGATTTATCTTCAATAATAAACCACATTGGTTTTTTAAAATTTTAATATTCCAAACTAAATGTCTCACACTAAATTACTGATAAATTAATTCTGATATTGAATTTCTCCTAGTAGTCTCTGGGGAAAATTGAACCACAATTTTATTTTATTATCCCCAGACCATGACTTCTCATATATCCCAAAGTTGCAACCTATCATTACTTAATAAAACCTTTTTTTTTGTATTTCTTCCATGATAAAATAGGTCAAAGCATACTTAGAAAAGGTGACACTGTAATGTCATTGTTAACTGCACTGAGAATTTGAGTGTCCTTATGTAACATTCATTAGCAGATACCTGCAACTTGCTTTATGTTCTTATATGACTGAAGATAATTTTATTTTATTTTTTGGTATCTTAGAGTATATGTACATAGTGGGGACTAAGGACAAATGATCAAATCAGCAATAGGCAAGGAATTTGTATTGAGAAAGTCACCTGAATATTTAAATATGTAAAAAGATTCTGTTGACATTTCCCATAACAAGATAAATATATTAAAAGGATCTAGTAACATCCTTTTTATTAATGCTTGCCTGTGTCATTTTAAGTTAAATAATAGCTTTTCTATAATTATCTTGTCATTCAGGAAGACATTTATTTCCAACATAAGTTTTGCTCCTCAAGAATAAATAAACTAACTTTCAATTTGAATTTAAGTTTCAATTCAAACTTTGAATCCTATTTAACAAAATATCTATTTTTAAAATTTCAGATGAGAATAATTTTTTGTCCATAAGTGAAAAAATAGTTCAGAATTTACTAAATGAAAAAAAAGAAATGTAAATAAACTGTGTTAAGGTAATTATAAACAACTAACTATGAAACTAAACACATTATTTTTACCTTTAAGTTATTTTAGTGATTTGTTTATTTTTAAGAAACAAATGTTAATTATTAATTGTGTGAAGAGAAACTTCCCACTCTATTGTATTCACTATTCTTCGGCCAACTTTTGTCAGACTCCGAGTATCTAGCTTTTACAGGTTGACTTTTTTGATTTGTCCTGAAAACTAATGAATATCAGTGGAATTTTTTCTTAGTCAATGATACTTACTTTGTTAGAAACAAAAATGTATTTGTGGTAAATTTGTTCTCTTTTTAACCATCTCTTTATAAAAAAATGTTAAGGGTTCTATATCAAATACCTATACAAATAAAAGGAATTACTAGGTAGTTTTCTTGCAATATTAAAATATATCTTCTGTTTATATAAACATAAATATGTAGTGTACTTCTAATATATTTTAGTTAAAAATCAATATTTTGATTACTTTGTGATAATATAAATAAAATGACATAATGTAGATATTTTGGAGGAACTACAAAAAACAACAACCAGTAAATGAGACAATTTACATTTCTATTATTCTTAGTCTACATGCATTTTTCTGATAAAGAAGAACTTTGGGTATATTAATGGTTTTTGACTCATTGATCAGTTGGCTTGGAGTCAAATATTTCTTAGGTATATTTTAAGAATATATATTAGTTCTCAAGCAGAAAAATATATAAATGTAATGCTTACATTTATTTATTTTATAACAATATATTTAGCATGCTAAGATATGAAATAGAAAAAAAATGCTTTCAAAACTTTATATTAAACCCTTCTCCTCTTACTTCCTCAAATCATTAAACTCTCCTGGTATTGGAAGAAAAAAGTGCTTATGTACTCGGTTGAAAGATTTGAAAGACATCATTGATATTTATTGTTGTTTTTGGCTGACTCAAATGCCCAGTGGAGAGGAATTTATATACAGATCTACCTAAAGATGCCTATCTATGTAGTGTCTCCAACAGGGTTATTAACACTTGTGTAACATAAACACACCCATAAACACATGCAAGATTATTTTTTTGAGGGAGGAGGAATGGGATGGGAGGAAAGATCTATTATAATCCATCATACTACATATTCATGGATTTTGTCTGGAAACACAAATGGTAATATTGGGCAAAAATATCATTCTTTAAAACCCTTAACTTCTGAAGAGAAAAGAAGTTGCCGTGGATGAAAAGCTTTTTCTCCCTTCAACAACCCTTCACATTCATAGATGTGACCAAAGCGGTTCCCATTCTCCTTTAAAGGTATTTTGTTGTCCACTGATGGGCATGGCTGCAAAGATTGTTATCATCATAGTTTAAGTAAAACATTTTTGCAGCTTTTAATGGTCACTCACAAATCGCCAATTTTAAACGTGTAATAAGAAGTAACAGCTGGAAAAAGAAAGGTATGATAATATCCTCTAGAAAGGCTTGGGACCACCTCTCTCCGCCCCCTTCTTTTGGCCTTTCCTCTTTAGTTCTGTGGTCTCTGTAGCCCCAGGCTCTCCTGGCACCTTCTCCCGACTGCCCCCGCCCTTCCTGGGGTCTGTCTTTGGTCCTAGTTTCTTAATAGCTGGAGGCTTAGATTAGCTGAAAATCAATTAGTTACAGCATGATCCTTTAGGTACAGTCTCCTGTTTTCTCTTTACTTGAGAAGGAAAAGGTTATGATGTGCCAATTACAGCCTCTACCCATCAGTAGAAAAGCTCCCCAGGGCACCAGAACCCGCTCTCTCTCCATCGCTTGTAATTGTTGCCTCCACCACTCCATTCTTCTTTGCCTCCTCGCCTCTCCCTGAGGACCCCACTGACAGAACTGAGTTGTTTTTGCCTTTACTATTTTATAACATAAATTAAAATTTAAAAGTGGGAAATGTAAGGGAAAGTAAAAAAGCAAAAAGGGGGAAAAATACAACATTGAACAAAAACTACAAAATGAAAACTAATCAGAAAGGCGATTCTCTTTTACTTTATAAAGCACATTTGCTTATAGTATTTTTA